AACTTTTAAGATATAAAAATAATAAAAACATATCTAGATAGAGCTTAACGAGCTCTAAATAGTAATATAAAAATTATACCTTAAAGTTGCCTATTCGGGTTACGATATCTCCAATAACTACGATAGATTTCAAATAACTACGATAGATTTTAAATAACTATGATAGATTTTTGATGTATTTAAAATAACTACGATGAGTTTAAAATAACTAGAATAACTAGAATTATTTAGTACTTTATCCGATGTACATCTAATGCGCATCTAATGTCTTTAAAATAACTAAAATAACCGTTTTACCGTCGGATACGTAGTTTAATTTGCGATGCATAATAATTTTTTCACGATTAGTAAGCCTATAAAGTTATTAATTTTACTAACTTTTTATTACCTTAAAAATATTAAAAATAGGATATTATTTTCTTATATAAGGCTCTTTTAATAAATTAATCTTTAACTCTTTTTTATATACTATTTATATATAAATAAAAGGAATGTAATAATCTAGTAATAGAATTATAAGTACTTTAAGCTAAGATAGTATTTATATATAGAGTATATAGAGAATATAAATAAGGTAGAGAATATAGATCTTATAAAGGAACTATAATACCTTTAACTTATAAAAGCTATAGTAATAAAAAAATAACTATATTAGCTTTATAGAGTTATAATAGTAGAGAATAAGCTATTTACGTTTTAAATAGTATTAATTTTAATTAAAATAACTTTAAAATAAAGTAATTACTATAAGTAGTAGATAGTAATAAAAGTTATGCTTTAAGATCTATACTACTTAAGTACTAGTAGTGCTAATAATGCTAACGATATAACTACACGTTAGCACTTATTACTTCTAGAAAATATATTTATTTCCTATTTAAGACTAGCAGCTAATCTAGATTACTATGGAGGCGGGATAGTGATTTTAGGGTAGCGGGATAGTGTTTTTGGGGTGGCGGATTAACATTGGCCTTAAGAGTGACTAGAGTAAAAGAGGCGATAATAACTT